ACTTGACTTGCACATGGCCGAGGAGGTTCTTGCGCGCCAACGCCATCCTAGCGTTGAAATCCCACAGGAAGTACTTATCGTCTTGTAGGACATCGTTCGGGCCGAGCGATTTTGGGCTCATAACCTAAACAATGTACGTCAATCTCCATCTCAACTTGTTCTCGCGATGGTAAAATGGAAAGTGAGCTACAACATCGTACGCTACTTAGTTGTCTGCTTCGAACTTCTGGCATCTAGAACCCTGACAAAATTGATCATTTGTTCGTGAACACTCGATACTGCAACACGTACATGCACAAGTTGTCTTTGTGTGTTATACACAATCTGCGACGTGATACAGTCTTGACAGACTCGATGAGTATGGATGATTCCTGTGGGTCAGAGATTAACACGACATCTATACTGGTCACGACATACAAGAGTTTTTTTTTAAGGTGAACGGTTCAGATGTCGATGTCGAGCGTTATTTTCTATCGACGGACGGTCCTAATTATTAATCCCACTTTGTTGTAACGTGGTTTGAAAATTCAAGATGGCGTAGCGTGGTCTTGCATTGTAACAATACCGGGTAAACTGATAAAGTCAAGCATTTGCTATCAGTATAAATATATCAGGAATTGCTGTTTTACTCTTCGTAGCACCGACACTTTAATTTCAGACTTCAGAAACTTGCTGAGGCGTCATCCTTCATTCAGTTATCAAGGGGCCACCACACGCTTAAGTTGTGGTGGCCTTACCTTTGGGAGCGTTGTAAAATTCATCCTCCAACAGCTTCACTTCATAAACGAGAATTCGAGCGCGTTGTCAGTATTCGACTCTTTAACTGCGCTGTACAGCTCAATCTTTGTTGCTAACTACTGCACTTACGCCTGCAGTGAGTGATTAGGAATCATTGTTGGTGACTACTGGTCAGATTTAAGGATGCTTTGATTTTCATTGCAGTTGAGCATAGCGCATAAAGCGAGCTAGCTGTCTCAAGCTTTCCAAAGTTCTGGCCTTAGATTGAAGACTGGTTGACTTGCTGACGACGACAGGCTCTTTCTCAGCTTATAGTATTGAGTCTCCGAAGAACCCAATGTCATGACCAATGACATGACCGCAAATATGGTGCTCTCCAAAGATGCGAGGATAACTACCATCAATAGCTCTGCACCGTAAACGTAATTTGATCTTCGTTTTGAAAGACATGATGTAAAAAGACACGCGAACACTGCGAGGACATAAGCAATGATAGCGAAAGCAGACGCGACTATAGATTCAAGTAAATGTAACTTTTGTTACCATTCGTTGTTTTCCTTTGCAGCGTCTGTTGTCTTCGGCGCATCATAGATTAGATTGCAGAAATTATTGTTTCACGACTATGAAGGATCATGTGTACTATATTATGCATTGCCATAAGCATACATAGGTCAAAATCTACATAGCGATTCTTTAAGATAACTTGCCATGGACTGTTGAATCTCGTAGAACGCATGAATAAGAACTCGTTTTATCAAGAGAAATACAATTACTAACTTTCAACTGAGATCAGACTTTTACAGCAACGCTGATACATGTACGACTAGCTCTACTGGTACTTTACGACCACATCTCTATCGATATCGCCCCCCATTTAAATACAAGATGATGTACGACTGGCAATTTTGAGTCATAATGTAACCGTTTTTTATTTTCTGATCGCCGACAATTCGTTATGACATTTAAACTTTTTTTGATCTGTACGGACACAGGACTATGAGCAAAAGGAGCCCGCGATGTGGTTTAATGCCGTTGTCCAAATGATTCTATGCATTGTGGAATTTGTGATATACTGCGCAAGATATGCATGGTGTATCCGTGAAGTCAATGCGCCTTTTTCTGTGGGCACCATCTGCATTCAATTTAATTCGGCTGTTTCTGTGCGTCAAACGAAAAATGACTTTGGATATTTTTCGCATGTAAAGACGACAGCAAAAAAGGATCGTAATGTCATTAATCTAAATTGAAATTTTGAAGTTAACATCAATGGAAAATGGCGCTACATTCAATAATGCTCTTACGGAACATTGTAGAACAACAGACAGAAATTGTAAGAATCTCATGTGAAACCATCGTTATATGGGACAACCGTCTGGCTAATCGATGTATAAAACCCTGCTGCTGCGATATCCAAGGCTTTAGCTCTACCAGTCCCGCTTAAATTAACACGCAGAAGTGGCGTCAACCTCCATTCAATATGAAGTGATCTATTGAAAATTAAGTTTATCTATAATTTAGTTCCGTCTTAATATTTACAGTAATAAAGAGCATAAGCATTCCACATGTCCACGAATCTCTCTTTCGCAGGAAAGTGTTTAGTTGGATCTGGCAAACACAGCAAATACGATAGAGATCCGGATTCTGTTCTACTCCTTGTACAGCGCTTGCTCTGCAGGTCAAAAGCCTCGTGTCCGTCTTTTCGTAAGTAGTAGTAAATAATAATGCAGACGCAAATATAATATATCAAAAAGAAGTGCATTTTTTCAGCTACTTCCACAATATTTATTTCAAACTTTCAAACTTGCAACTCTGACCACTCAGGCATTATAGGACCTTTGCGTGCCCAAGACTCTGCCGCAGCTATGGCTGGCACCAGCGCATCGCAAATGCCCCCAGCTACGATGTTTCCTGGTGATACTAGAGCGAGTACCACACCTGAGTTTTTGTTATTCGCGACCGATGTAGTTAACGACCGCTCTCGTGTTGTGCGTTCCTGTTGAAGCAGGTGCTGGCTATCCGATCAACATCAAATTCGACGATGAGCTTTCTCACCGCCGCTCGTGTGTCTAGACATCGAGTTCAACGCGTTATCATGAGATTTAGCCAGCGTCGGTCATGGCGTAGCGCAAGTCCAGATTTTTGCGCGTATTGAAGTAGTTTGGACGCCAACGGGGCAGATACACAGCCGCTTAAACCACATGCAGTACCACCATATAAGGGACACGTAAACGGTGAGACAGACAAGCGACTAAAAAACGGATAGCCAATACAGTTCATCCCGTAGGTTGCTTCTACGTTCAAAATGAGTGTCTTGATCAAATCAACGTTTGCATTATCAACATCATCGTCATCATTTCCAGTGCGACGATGATGCTGTGCCCTTTGCACAGAGGAAGGCTTAGCTCAAAAGTTCGCATTGATAAATGATGGATTGGCAGTTCACCCAAAACGAAATCGAGAGCCACTGTAGCACTTGTTACCCGATTTCTCTTACATTTAATTAGTGATATATGTTTGGGGCTACTCCAATTCATAGAAACATTAACATACGATGTACCATCTTTATTGCTTGACGTATGGCTAACAACCCACATGTATCGCATAAATATCGTTTTAGTATCCCATCGACTTCATTTTCTTTAAAGTTTAATACCTCTAGCAAATCCTCGGTACACCTAAATGTAATCTGAACTTTGATTGATGTGACAAAATCGCATTTTTCTGATTGCAAAGAAGTGTAAGAAGTACGTACACAGCAGTATCAACATTCCTCTTTGCATTTACGATGGACGACTATTTTTCTTAGAAATTGTCATTATTTTCTTTCAAATATTGACGTGTTAGCAGAATGTAATTGTCTGATTTATATCCTTCACTCCCAAATTGTTCATCCCATGGATTCAATTCCGTAGATCGCCTACTGTGTCATGAATACGAAGGCAAGTGTGAGCTTAAGGCTTGCAAATTTTGGGCCACGCTTAAAAATGGTTGGTGTGCTAATTGCGTGTTAATTTCACAATGACACGATGTGATCATCGAAATAAATAAGTTGTAGGATTCCACTTTACCTCATTGAGGACACCTCAGTAGCGTACGCGTCCATGTCATAACATTTAAGCTTGTATGCTAGTTGGTTTTCTCACCTGCTACTGCTCACAACTCCTTCTCACTGCATACACCAAGATTACACACCGGCAGTCTATAGCAAATCTAGTACTTCGCTGCTTTAAGCACGAGTCTCATGCATGTTAAACGGCTTAGGTCTCTCAGAAAGATACCCACAAGAGCCATCTCTGTCGTGATGGCTCTATTTTGTCTGTGACATACGCTTGAGGACTAGCGCAAAAGTGGGCCGTCCACTATGCATATTTCGATGGCCTACACTGAGTAGACCTCGCACATTTTCTGCCGATACAAGCTTTTTTACGTTTCTGACGGCTCCTCATGTCACAGTCTCATTGGCTGCTTCCCATCCTCATGCTTCAGCTAATTCAGCAGCCGAAAAACCAAGACTGTTGCTACCATACCGTGTTGTGTTCCCTTATTTTTTGCGGTGCTGCTATATATTAGCAATGCTGACATGATGTGCAATGTGATATTTACGTCATCTCTCCGTGAATACTCATCACGTTAATCTCGATCGAGTGCCAATCACGGTAATTTATCTTGGTATTTCAATTTTGATTCGTTCAAGTTTCATCCAGGGACAAACAAAATCATAGTGGAATGTGCACGTACAACACATTACTCGTAATCTTCCTGCAAATTTGCGTATCACAATCTTGATTGTCTCATCAGAAAAAATCTCAAAAGTGCACACTCTAAGCACGATACGTCAGATTTTTCTCTTATACTGCATTGACCAGTGTCATAGTAAGCAGTGATCTTGAGCTGGTTCAGCAAGTCGAATCAATCCGTCCGAAAGCTCAACAATCGCAGCGACTTTCGATGCAGATGCTTCGGACAAATTTGTGTCGTGGTAATGAAGTTGATAATTCATTAGATGTCGTCTGTCGCTCCCATGCCGTTCATTAGAAGTCGCTTGTCGCACCGCCGCGGTGCATAAGGCCAACGAGCTTAAAATGTCACGTCAAGAGCGCATGTGATCCACAGATCACCCATCCTACAAAGTAGCGCATGTGATCCACAGATCACCCATCCTACAAAGTAGCGCCTGTGCAGCAGGGCTACCGTAGCTAAGCGCTTGGGGAAGCTTACTTTAGGTCACCGATCTTTCGGTCATTACAAGAACCAAGTATGAGCTAGGGGATCGCAATCAGCTTACTCCAAGAGTAATTATTGCCCTCGCAAGGCTAATTGACTCTTCGATTTGGGTTCAAAACTGATTTTTATTTTTTAATCCCAATTTTAAAAGTTTAGATTTTCCTAAATATACTAAATATATTTAGTTAAATCTAAAAACATGCATAACTACTGGCTACCTAGCCGCATACCGTATTCTTGTTTGGGTGTAGTCACACCATGCACATTTCGTGTGACACACAACCCTGTTACCAGGGTACGTGTAACCCCGTTACAGCCTGTGCCAAGAGCAGCAGGAAGATAATAGTATTATTAGTTCTTACATCCTTATACAGGGTGTGCACCGTATTAGGGTGTATGTACACATAACACTATTGTACAGTTGTCCCCACATCAGAGGAAGCGAATATCTATAGAGCCATGGATTGCGCGACGAAGAAAACACGTCGGTCTTTAGCCTCACGACATACAGAACACATTATTCGACAGTAAATACAGTAGTATATATTGTATCAGCCTAAACATCTGCTAAGAAAATACATGTCATTCTTGAATATAAGGAAAAGCAAATAAGTGCTCAGATACTTGGAAGAGCCTCGGTTCTGATTCCGGATGGAGCGTACAAAATCATGTTTCATGCATTTGCGCGCGAAACTTTTTGATCGAAGCATTCCCTGTGCAGGGTGCACGACAACAATCTATTGCAGTAACTCTCGCAATTAACGCTAGCAAAACCCGAGGTGTATCCTGCTTGAATCATGCACCGGGTGAAGAAGGGACGTCGCCGGACTCATTCTACGGCATTACAAGCATATTCAGTGAAGCAGACGTCAGGCTGGAGCATCTTTTGATGCTTGGTTTTGCAAGATACGATGCACGGCGTAAAGAACAACATGGATGTCGAAAAGGACGCTTATAACAACACTGCTAATCACCAATGCATGCCAGTCTGCTACCAGTCAAGTCTCGAACTTAGAACAAGGCTGACAACCAGAGAAGTGTGTTGTACTGTGCAGCTCAGTCTCTTTCCATGATGGAAAAATTAAGAAGGCGTGCCACTTCGTAAGCGGTAACAACGCCAGGGCAATCTTGCCGATATGATATGTCAAACTCACATAGTATCTTGAAGTGAAAAGTGTTTTAGATACCTGTTACAGCACATGTGAGCCCGTTAGCCCAATTCTCGCTTTATGGTGAAGGTTTTCTCCCTTTCTAGTCAAGAAGAGTCGGTGTTTGACCACCTGTGCGGCCGGTTCCTGTGGGATCTTTTCGTTATTTCGGCGCGCGAACTCTTTTCGAGAGTCTTGGTATATGGTCATTAATGAGGTGCGCCACATTTTGGCTGCGGACGCTTAGCCACGCACCGAACGAGTACTCTATGCAATTCAAAACCTTACTGCTACCTGGTGATGATAATTTGTCTGCATAAAAAATTGAGATGTTGCTTCGTCTTTGACAGAGAAGTTTGCATCTGAACGACTCGTAAAATCAAAATGAGTGATGACTTGGGGAAGATGGGAAAATACGCTCGCAACTTCTTCAAAATAATGCGAGGGCAAAGTCTGAGTGTCATAGACGACACTAAAAGAACGATAGAAGTCTGACAACGCTAGTATTGGCGCATAAAGAAGGCTGCTTTGACCCCGTCAAAAGCCTCCCGATGCTCGCTGTCCCAAGACCATTCCGCATTTTTCATAAGGAGATTCGACAATGATAGTGCCAGGTCGATCATATGATGCACACCTCGGTCCGGAGTTAGGACCGGCAGCGGGTCTTTGGAGAAGACGTTTTAAAGTTCCTTTTATAAAGGATAGTATGGATCCAAGGAGTTCTTCAGAATCGAAGATTTACTTCGTGCGCTCAGCACCTTCTTGATGTCCTCCAGGACAGCTTCATCCAGAAGCGACGACGCGTTGGTCTTCTTTTTTGGAAATTTAATGACCACTTCGGCTAAGCCGCCTGCCTTCAAGGCACCGCCAAAACTCTTCGAGGGACATCTCGTCTAGCTCAAGAAGAGGCTGGAATAGCCTCGAGGGTGATGTCGCTGTCTCCCTCCCCGTCATACTATTGACGAGGGTGTATAGCCGTGCGCTATCGTTTACAATAGACACCTCCTGGTTCAGGGTCGACGCCCGGTGTCTTGCAGATAACATACGGCGTCGCCGTCGCCTCACCACAGAGCTTCTACGACCCGGTGAGACTTGTGGGAGCACGCACTCAGCGTCGTCCGGTGTTAGCCTCACATCCTGCTCCACCCCA